TAATTACTTTAGGGAAAGATGTAAAACAACTTGTTAGAAAGCTTCTCAACGACTTCTGTCTTACATCCAAGGAGTATTGGCTGTGAACTATTAATCTCCACCATAAATGGTTGTTTCAGGACTTACCAGTTGTCCCGAGCTCAATTTCGTGAGGTACACAATATTGCGTTACTTGTCGTCAGTAGCAACGCCAATCGTTTACATATTTCACTATCACTGCTTTCTTTTCTGTACTTAATCAAACGCTATTGTGTAGAGGAGTATGAATAAACAAAAAGCTCTCAGCAAGGTTCAATACCCACCTTTCTGTAATGATCTAGTCTGATCCAAATGAATCGAGCGCGTCCGTGGTGTTATTCGAGATTTTTCAGTCATCAGTGGATCATTGTAAAGCCAAATTTAAGATCGAGCCTTTTCTTCTTCGACGGGCCGGGTACCATTATAGTAATGACGGTTTTAAAGAAGACTAAGGGACTGACTGAATGGCTTGTTCAGTCAGTTTAAGTTTGTCTACAATTTACAACGGCCCCAAAAACCTCCTGCGTATACAAGCGGAAAAATGACCAAAGGTCTCAAATGTGGTTCACTTTTAACCCTTAAAAAGCTATTTTTATTGCATACCTATGACAACCCTCTCTCCCCCGCTTGACGTGTTTTAAACGAAATAATACAGCGAGTTTTAGAAAAACCCGAGCAACAAATGACAAATTTTTCAATATCTATGAGAACCTCTTTACACTGACAATGGCAGTGTTTATAATGAACACTTCAGAAACAGTTGAGTAAAATTCCTCGAAGAGTCTGAAAGTCACGGAATAAGTCACGGGATAAGTGTTCTTAAAAAGAAATTATGCATCAGTTGTCCGTTACAGTTAAAGTTATAATTATTACAATGGTCCAGATGAAGCAGAAGTTACCTGAACTTTTGTTCTTCAAAAGTAATCGCAGTACTGATTATCATTCGATCAGTATTATTCGCTGCCGCGAAAAAAAGCTTCTTGAAAGTTAATTCGTGTGTGTACGCTCTTTAATCTATTGATTGTTGTCATGCAAGCTTTAAATCTATTCGTATTTATATCATATTCTTACATCTTATTTATTTCAGATTGTGTACTGGAAATGGAATTTTTACCAACTGATGCTGCTGCCCACAACTCCTCTGACGAGAAATAAGCGAGAACATGTAACTGACGCAATAGAGCAGCGCGCGAACTCTAGTTGCACGCGCGGCCTCGTAACATTACGTTTTAGTTTAAGAAAGTTATTGTTTTAGTATAATTTCAGAGCTGAGCAGAGTTTCCAGCAATCTGATTGGTCGAGCGGTTCCTTATATGACGCTATACAAACCGCTCCACGCGGCTTATATAAAATGTTAAAATAAAATGTTAATAAATGTTACTAAAATGTTATGATTTTAGAAATTTCTCTGTTGCTCAGCTCTGAAATTATACTAAAACAATTATTCGCCTCAGGTTCGGTGAATATTGTCGAATAATCCCCTCGACTTCGTCTCGGGGATTATTCGACGATATTCACCTCGCCTTCGGCGAATAATTGTTAAATATA